CGGCCACACCTGCCTGTTGCCAGGATCCTCCTTCCTGGAATTCAAGCATTGAATGCCTGCCCAACTCCCCAGCTCGAGGAGTTCTGGGAACAACTGTGACTCATTGGAAAGAACTTTGATCTTGCTGTGAAAGAGGATACTTTCTCCAGTCTGTTTCTTTTCTTTCCATTTTGCTTTTATTGTTATATTGATGTTGCTGCTTAGAGTTCTAGTTGCCTGGTCTTGATCATCATAAAAATTAAAAAATCGCCTTCTTGAATTAATCCCACTCGGAGGAGAGAGGATGAAAATGAATGTCACCCAGGCCACTTTCACGAAGGTAGGGATTTGCCATAGAGACCAGACTGTGTCAAAACCTTGAATTGATTCAACCATCACACTGTCTAACCAAAGGGCTTATGAACGTCAAAGCAAACCCCGAGAGCTGAGAAAATGAATCATGAAAACCGGCAGCCACCCCACGTCCCCTTGAGGTGATGAAGGAAAACCACATCAATCACTGTACCAGATAAAGAAGTAGTCAGTGTATATGGGGTCCAAGACAGAGGGGGGTGGGGAGCAGGAAGGGGAGCTTCTACATGCTTTTCACAAGTATTCCCATAAATGATTGCTCTCCCGGCCGCAGCCTTCAGACCACAAGAGACACACTTTCCTGTATTCATTGATCTGCTGAGCCCACGTCCACAGGCTGGAGAGAGAGACAAATGTGTCTGCTCTGGTAACAGGAAGCCTAGAGCCGCAAAGAGGAAAGGGAGCTGGGCTTTGACCAAAGACTGGATTACCAGACATTCCACCAGCTTCCAGAGGACAGGGGCAGTGGGCCCCAGCTCTGCCACATTCTCTCAGGCATTTTCTTCACTCTGGAGAGTTCTCTGCTCTGTGCCTGCCTTCAGCACAATGCTAGGCCGGGTGCAGCCGAGGGGCAGTCTTTGGTCAGCTTTGGAAACAAGGATTTCATGGGTGTGGGACTAAGCTGACTCCCAAACACTCACTGGCAACAAGCCACCTCACTTCTGAGTCCGTTTCCTTGTCAGCAAAAGAAAAAATAACATTCACACTTTCTTCCCACACTAAGAATTTATCAATTAATGGCACTTGTAAATTTTCATCTAAGGGAAAAGGTATGGGGAGGAAACAAGTGATTCAGTGGCCTTTGGAGTTTTTAATTGCTCAGATGAGCTATAGACTAGAAAGAACGGCTCCTGATCAGAACCAGGGAAGTGGACATGGGGAAAGTTAGTCACCAACCCCATATGGATGTTTGAAGGCCCCTTTATGTGACTCCTTGAACGCTAGCACAGGAGCCTGGCCAGGTGGGGACCACAGGTTCCTTCACCAACTGTCATCTCCATGTCAGACCCACGGCCCCTCTCCAGGCAGACACCAGCACTCAGCTCCTCCCACTAGCCCACAGAGCCCCCAGCTCTTCTGTGAAGTTGGCTGCTCTCCCACCTGAGCCCTGGGGTGACAGAGGATGGACAACGTGTCTGGAGAGAGGGGACTTCTATGTGACTAGGATATACAGAGAGAAAATGTATGAAGGGAGAGGCAGAGAAGATATAAGACCCCATTCAGGATGGCCCCGGAGGGAATGAGGCATCAATCTGGGCTCTTCTCTTGGAAGCTCTGGAGTTGAATTCTTGCTGGCACATTCCTGTCAGAAATGGATTCCTTGTGTTTGCAGGACTGACTCTCCCATCTCTGCTGGCTGGTGATTGGGGTACTCCTCAGCTTCTAGGCACCCCCCCTCACTATGTGGCCCACCCATCTTCAAAGCCCACAGCAGCATGTCAAACCCTTCACTCTTGGAACCCCTCTCACTGCCTGTGGTGTAAGGAGATATGACCTTCCATCTTTGCCTTCAGTCCCTGACACAGGGTTTTAGAACCCATGGAATTTCTTGAGTGTCTTTTGTTATTTGTAATGAGCCCCCCTCAGCCATGCCTGGGTCTCCTGGAGGGCCCTAGACAGCCTCAGGTGGAAAATCGTCACCAAAAAACCAACTCTGTGATTAGAGAGCTGGAACTTCCAGGCCCACCCCAGACTTCTAGGGAGGGGAGGGGGCTGGAGGTTCATTCAATCCCCCTGGCTAAAGATTTGATAATCTTGCCTACTCAAGAATTCTACATAAAACTCCTACATGATAGGGTTCAGAGCGCTCCCAGGGTGGGGATCCTGTGGAGGTACTTGCAGAGTGGTGCGTCCAGAGAGGTCCTGGAAGCCCCCCACTCATCCCTTGCCCTGTACATCTCTTCACCAGGCTGTTCCTGAGTTGTAGCCTTCATAGGGAACTGGTCACCTGCGAAGGAGACTGTTTTCTTGACTTCCGTGAGTTGTTCCAGCAAATTACCAAACTTCGGGGGGTGTCACGGGAACCTCCAAATTTGCAGTTGGCCAATCAGAAATATGGACAGTCTGGGTGCACCATCATGCAGCTGGTGTCAGAAATAGCAGGCAGTCTTGTGGGACTGAGCCCTTGAGCTGCAGGGTCTAAGCCAACTCCAGGTTGTTAGTTTCAGAATCGAGCTGAATTGTTCAACATCAGCAATTGCCAGTGCTTTGGAGGACCGATGTGGAAAAACACATATTTGGGGGTCAGAGGAAAAAGAAATAACTCACTTTCTCTTCTTCAACCAATCAGGAAAATTTTGCTTTTAAAGGCTCAATGATCACTCCTGCCTCCGTGGAGCACACCTATTTCCAAGTCAACTAACTGATTAGTAAGCTTAATAATGTCTGCAAAATTCCTAGTCCCTTCACGGTAGAATTAATAAGGGGAGGAAGTTGGGGACTCTGGTGAAATCATGCCTTCCCCCGGGGAGGAGCGCGGATGCAATGGGACAGGCAGAAGATGTCAGCACCCAGAAGGCCGGCAAGAAGAACAAACACCTGCCTTCTCTCAGAAGGGCTCACAGGAGGTGGCCCACAGGACCGCTGCCGGTGCCAGCCCGATTCAGAGAGCCACATCCACCCCCAGGATGAGGAAGGAGGTCCCCTGAAAGATGGAAAAAATTCCTACACATTAAGCTGCTCATTTTAGAGAGAGTGGTGAGATTCTCATGTTCCCCCTCAGAGAAACACTCTTCCTATTACCTCAGCGATTTGCAGCCTGCCGCTGTTAGCTGCCTTGTTTCTTCCCAACTGTCCAAACAGGCTCTTTATTGCTTGGAAGATAGTTCTGCCAATGAGCTTGTACCCCAAGAGGCTGAGAAATTTAAAGGCTCTCTCTGTTCCACATCAAGTGCGCAGGGCATTCTGCCCCCCGTTTCTGGTCAGACTGTGTTTCTGTGCGGATGAGTCTTCTGAGACATTACGAGGCAGTTACTCTGGCGAGAAAGAGCACAAGGCGGGAGGGCACAGCCCACCTGCTCCCCAGAAATGCTGGGCTGTGTCCCAGAGCTCTGGAGCCGCCATCACAGGGGAAATTGCTTTATTGGTTGTGGCCTGGTGAGTAGTTGTCCATCTGCTTTCACCTCACCTCTCTTGACTATCTGAGGGTTGTGACCCACACCCTCACCCCTGCCCTAGGTGAGCCCTGCTGTCCCAGGAGCTCAATTCCCTCCTCCATGAACAGAGCTCTCAGGGAGCCAGCCTTTTCCAGTCCTGCTCAGGGATTCGGGAAGGGCTGGGTGGTGAAAGGGGAAATGAAGATGACACTCTCTGGCTGGGCCGTTGAGGCTCAGGACAAAGTCTTCCCATTTTTCCATAGGCTCCTCCAGCCCAAAATTTGTTACCCGGCCTCCTAAGCCAGACTCCCTGAAGTATGCACGATGGAAAGTTTGAGCTAGACTTACAATCAGGTTGCTTCAAAGACCAAGTACAATTTGTTCCACAATATCAATCAAGGGCATGTTGAGTTCCAGACACCCGCAGGTCCCCAGCCACCCTGACACCAGCTCAGGTGCTCCCCTGCCTACAGTTCAGGCCACCACTTTGGGTGGTGCCCACTGCCCCCAGTTATGTCACATGTCTCCTTGGTGCCTGGGAAAGGACAACACCCTCTTACTTTTGGGGGGATATATCTAAGTGAGGGGTCAAGAGCTGACATTTTGGGGGACTAACAGAAAAGCTCAAAAATTTTGAAATAAACAAAAATGTATATCTGCTTAATGAGCTGACCTCCCAGCCTCTCTGCCAAATCCTTGCTTTCCTTCTGAAAATCTCCTTTTGCTTTTCCTCAAGTGGTTCTTTGTCAGTCTGGAGAGCAATGCGCCTTGTGCTAATGGTTTAATAAAATGTGCAACACAGAGAATTACAGTCTTTAAAAATAAAGCAAGTCCCAGCAATCATTTTGTATTCTTGTCTTACCAGGGAGAGATGGCGGAACCAGCCCCTCAGGCAAACAGGAGCCCCTGGCCCCCAGAACTACTCCCATGGGGATTTCTGTATACACTTCATCCTTACAGCTGCAGCACTGCCAGTGTCATTTTTTCCAGCAGGTGATCAAATGCAAATAATTAAAAACAAAAGACAAATATAATTGACTCTCTTTGCTCCGGGCAGCAAACTCTGCATTAGACCTGCAAGCATTAGACCTGCAAGCAGCAGACCTTGGTCTGGTTTGGGGTGAGCAGGTCATGTGCTTTAATGCCCTTGTCATTCCTGTGCAGAGAGAGCACTGCAGCGCAAAACACCCAGGCTTCCAAGGCCATTCACTGACAATGGGGATTGGGGAGGGAGGTCATACATCTACCACTAAGGACAAGAAACAGAAGCCAGAACCAAATACATCGTGAGATGGGCTTTAAAAATCACTGGTGTGTGTCAGTTAGATCATAATAAAAATGTAACGTTTTTAGCAAAAGAAAAAAAAAATCTGAGTTTGTGTTGAGGGATGTCATGTGGTAAGTATGCCTCAGAGGTGTGAAAAAGCCAAGAAGAAAGTCCACCAAAATGTAGGGATAACTGATTATCGGTGCTTTTCCTTCTTTCTTTCATTTTTTGGTGTTTTATACCAATATAAGGACACAAAACTTTTAATTATTTTTATTATTGTTAACTTTTATTATGACACAATAAATACACAAAACTTTTATAAACTTAAAAGGTTACCTTGGGGAGGTGGGCCCAATTATATGCTGAAGGATGGAAGCTAGACTTTCAGTGGTGAACTTAATGTGGTATCTGCAGATGTTGATTTATAACGCTGGACACCTAAAAGCTATGTAATAGTATAAACCAATGTCACTCTGATAAAAGGCAATACTTTAGAAAAGTTATCTATGGAAGTTACTTTCCTTCCAATGCCAGCTTGCTGGCACCTCCAGGATGTATATGGAGGCAGGTCTTAGTGGTCCCAAACTTGCCAATCCATTTCAAGTTCTAGGATCACAAGCAAAGCACCTTTATTAACTTTTAGGTGTTGTTACCATTAACAACATTTCACATGCAGGACACTGCCAAACCACTGAGGATCACCCCAACGTGCCAGTGATGATTCGCTCCTCCAGGCATCACCACGGAGGGCTGTTGCACATGTGGAATGCAAGACTTTATACATACTCAGCACTGCACTGCCTTCTCTCTGGGGTATAGCATCAGCAATACATCATTCATCCAAAAAAAATCCCCTCAAAAACACATTTGGGCCTGGTACTGTGTGTAAACAGACATTTTTTCCCTGCAAATTCCCCTCACTCCTGGCTCCAACAGGTGCCTGTTCTGTAAGTTTGAATCAGAGAAAGCTAAATTTCTTAAGCGCTGCCAACTTAAACTTTTAAAAGGATCCGTTTGGCAGCAGGAGGTCTGCCTGCACTTTGTGCAGTGTTCTGCTACATTTACTCCTTCAGGGGCACACTCAGAGTGATGACGCCTATTCGTGTTTACTATAGCGTGCTGCAGCCAATGTGGTTATGCCAGAATGCTCACTGGGGCAGAGTCCCACCTCACAAGTCCCCCCACCAAGGAAAACAAAAGGTTTTAAGCAGCAAATAGGTAAAATATTAATGAAACTTGGGCATAAACGCAGTTGAATTGTGTCATTGTACCTTTGTCTAATCAAGGGGGGGAGGTTTTTAAAAGCTGATAGATGTGAAACAGAATGTTTTCATTTCAGGAAGAGTAATTAAGCTCATACGGTCCTGTTTTTCCAGCGCATGCTCCCGCAATGTCTAGAGAACTGTAAAGTGGCACCCACAAGACAAACCAGCCTGAAGAGACAACTGATAAACCCACAGGATTTTCTCCTTGGAAAAAAAGCACAGCACCCCTCCTTCACAGAGGCAGGTAGAACACTGAGGCCCTGCTAAAAACAGCTTGTCTGCCCAGAGTGAAATCAAGATATACTAATCTAAAAAAAAGATTTAGGGATAATGTCCCTAGATCCTTCTCAAAGTCTTTGCTGAAGGGACTTAAATGCCTTTTCCTCTGTAAGTCTTGAAATGGGACTGAATAGCAGCAGCCCCCTAACTCAAATGTGGGTGGAGAACACGCAACAGCAGAAAGCAGATGCTGGCCCTACTCAGAATTGCTCATTGGGATTTGTGTAGATGCTGCCTTCCCACTTTTCAGATCTTTCAAGTTCTATCACAGCATGACAGCAGGATGACTCACGTAAATGCAGCCATGCCCTACAGGGTTTTAATGCCTTGGTGACATTGCTGTAAGCACCATTTTTTTTTTTTTTTTTTAGAGGAAAAAGGTTCCTGAGAGCAGTCTGCCACCATCTCCAGGGACCACAAAGGACAGCGCCTGCAGAGGGCAATGCTCTTTGTGCAGGAAGGTTGCCTGCATCCTGCAAGCTGTTCTGATAAGCAGCTGTCGAGGGAAGGGGGCGGGGAGCAGGGGAGCAGGGGGAGGGGAGAGGCTGTTGTTATCAGGTTGGAGGGCCAGCCTTCTGGGATTACGCTCATGTCTTATCTCAACTAAACTCCTGTCTTGCAAGTTTGAAAATCTTAAAAGGAGAAAAACAGAAGCAGGATTCAAGCTCTGTCCTAACAGCGAGCCAGCGCACCCACCCCCAACTTCCAGCGCCCCAAGATTCAGTGACAGTGGGATGAAACAGGTCCACGGAGTTTCCACAATTGTCTGAAACCCTACTAACCACCTCCCCTCCCCCACAGAGAAGTATCCCCCCTCAATAAAGGAAAAAAAAAAAAAGTTGGCTTCAATAAGTTTATTGTGCAATTCAAAGCTTCCACTGCAGCATCCTCTAGAAAAATCAAGCCTCCCGGATCCGCTCTGAAACAGCAGTGCAGGCTGCTAAGTCCGTCAGAGATCCTGAAACCCAAGTCCAGGCCGCCTGGCTTCGACTTTCCCCTCCTTCCTGCCGGGAGCGCCGGCTGCTGAGTCACGCTCGCCCGGCCAGTCCGTCCTTCCCAGCCCGCGGGCCAACGTCCCGCGTCCGGCCGTCCTGGGACAGCAGCCGCTCCCCCACACTCGGGGTCAGCCTGTGCCTGACGCTGACGGCCCCCTCCTCGGGAGCCGCACCTCCTTGCTGCTCGCTCTCCACGCGCCACCCGCCTGCCAGTCTCCACGCCGCGCTCCGGCGCCCTCCGCGGGCGCATCCACAGAGCCAGCCGCGCGCTGGGCGCCCCAGGGCGTCACAAGTCGATCAGACCAAAGATGCCCCTGGGCCTTCACTCGGGGAGGGTGATGCTGGGCACCCAGTCGTTGACGCTGCGGCTCTCCTCGCAAAACAGGCTGAGCTTCTCCAAGGCCGGGTCTTTCCATGCGTCCTCGTTGGGGTTCTGCGGGGAGAGCGCAGGGGTCAGCCTGGCTAGCCGCTGACCGCTGACCGCTGACCGCTGGCCGGGGCGGCAGGAAAACACGGGGGACGAAACTCACCGAAATGAGGATGCAGTGCAGGTCTCCGGGCGCTCCCGCCTCGTCGCCAGCGCCCACGATGGCAGCCAGCCGCTGCACGTCGCCCACGCGCACAATGTCGATGTCGTTCTCGCAGCAGAAGGCTTGGATCAGAGTGAAGTGGATCTGCAGCGCGATGTCCCCCTCGTCCTCCTCGTCGGCCGCCAGCACGCAGAAAGTCACATTGTCCGGGTCGCTGAACAGGCCAGGGGAGCGCGTGGTGAGGTCAGGCTGGGGAGTCTGGGTACCCCGCGCCCGCCTCTCGGCTCTCCTCCCTGCCACTCCCCCGGCCCTGCGTCTCCCCACCGCGGCCGCAACTGTACTCACATGTTCAGGACTTTGGCTGACTCGTAGACTCCGGCAGTGAGGCAGCCCTGGCGCTGCGCCGACAGCAACAGCTCGTGCAGCGCTTTCCCCGCGCCCTGCATCCTGCGGACGAACCAGAGCCGTCAGCGCGGAGAGGCGCAGGGCGCAGCGAGATCCCAGCCCCGGAGACGCGCCCTCGGCACCCCAGCTCCGCGCCCCCGTCTCGAGGACGCACACACCCAGACCTCCAGGCCGGCGCCCCAACCTCGGGGACTCAAGCCTGGCGCCCCAACCTCGGGGAATCAAGCCTAGCGCCCCAGTCCGCCCGCACACAGGCGCCGGGGTCTCACCCAGCGGGAGCCACCCCGGGGGAGCTTGAAGGCTGCCGCCCCAACAGCCACGGCCACATCAGGCTCCCCGAGACCCAACGCGCCCAGCACCCGGAGCCAACCTACCTGGCGGTGCTTTCCGGAACCGCGTCCAGTCCGCGGACTTCTTCCAGAGTCATGATGCAGCCCGCGAGCAGCAAGTTATCCAGAGAGCGCGGAGCGGTGGGACTGGAAGGCTCCCCGTGCGCCAGACGCGCCCCCAGCCAGCCAGTGCGCCTGGCGACGCGGCGCGCGCCCTTATATAGGCCGGGGCGGCGGCGTCTCCAGCTGGCGCGAGGCTGCGCGCCTATTGGCCAGCGCCCGCTTTCTGATGCAAATGAGGCGGCGGCCGGCGGCTCGTGCCAGAAGGCCACGTGGGGAGGGGTGCGGGGGATGACAATGCCTCAAATCTGCCTCTTTGTCGGGGTGTTACCAGGCAGACTGGAGCCTGCAGATTTCATCTCGCCCTTTTTTTTTTTTCAAGTCCTTAAAAGGGAAAAATTAGGAAAAAAGATTTTAAAATCTTGTTTGCTTGGAGAAAGCTGCCGTTGGTGAAATGCACCTTTGGAGACTCGAAAAGCAGTTACTTTGCATGGTTGAACCTTTCTGCTTTTTCTTTACTTTTAATTCGAAGTTTAGGAAACTTGCTTTTCACCGGAACTTAATGTAAAAATGCGCAGAGGTGGCTTTTCGCGTGGGAAAGGCATGGCGAGGTCCCCTGGAGCTGGCACTGGGGCCCGCGAGCGCCCTGCCTTGGCCTCCAGGCCCACTCAAGTCCCTGGCTGCGCTGGAAGGTCAGAGCCCGGGTCCCGGCCGGCTGCGGCTGGGCGCTGCGGGGCGCCCGGGCGCGAAAGCAGATTGCGGCCGGCGCACGCGGCTCGTTTGCATTTCTATGGAGGGCGCACAATAGCGGGGGTCTGGCGTGTGGCGGTTTGCAGAAAGACAATCGAGGCTTTCTCTTCATAGCGACACTGTCCACCTGCCGCCTGGTGGGGTGGGTAGGGCCCCGCCGCGCGTGGGGGCTGCCGTGCTGCCCAGCGCGTGGGGGGCTGGACCACGTGCAGCCTCTGCGGCCCTGGGTACGTGCCCTGAGCGCGCCCTCGCTGCACCCAAGCCTCGTTGGCATATAATTGCTCCCCACCCAGACTTCTCACGGGTGTCCAGGCGAGTTGTAATGATCACCCGCTGCCACGCGGTCTATGCCAGGCGAGTGCGCTCGCTGCACTAAGCGGCTCACTTGGGAGAATGAGGCTCGGAATATCCTTTCCAGGGGCGCCATCTACCCGCCAGAAAAAAAATCCTTCCTGCCCTCCCCTCTCCTGCCATCTTATCCCCACTTTCATTGGACTCCGAGAGTCTGGCCTCTCGCCCTCTGGTCAGAGTCCTGGCTGGGTCTGCTGCGCCCAGGCCAAGCTGTGCATTAATGGCATCCAGAGTAAAGGACTGCAACCCCACCCGGCGAGGGCGTGGGGGCGCGAAAGGAGACTGGTGGGGTAAGAGCCCCTATTACTTATGCTGTTTTGACATTTTTAATTACTTAAATATGCATATGTTTAAGTAAGGAGCTGGTACATCAGTAAGGGAATCCTAACACTGGAAGCGAGCTGGGGTATAACCATTCTGGACCTTTTGCCCTCTAAGCGCATCACCTTGGTGTCTGCACCAAAGATTGCAGGAAGATGCGCGCTCAGGGTCACTTTCTTTACCCACTTTTCCCCACATGAATCCTTAGATACTGGGCTAGACAGTGGGCGGAACAAGGAGAATCCGCTGGAAGCCCAGGTTCTGCTGCAAGTCTGGGGAAAGAAATGAGTTTTTCTTTTGACCCCGGGTTTCTGGGGAGCGTGATGGGGGTAGGGTGGCTATGCAAGCATTTCCTTCGTCAATGGAAGGATTTATTCTGCGCTTGGAGGCACAATTTAGCGCCAGTGCAGAAAGGCCAAGAGCAGAAGCGGGCTCTCGCGCCCCCTGGTGGCTGTCTGGCAGAAGACAGTTGCCAGAGCCGCTTTCTTGGTTCTTAGAAGCCGGTCTCCCCTTCCGAGGTGTCATCATCTCCAAGGAGAAGCGTCCTGCCGCGTTAATGTGACAGTTTCCTCTTTCTCTCTTGGTGGTGTCTAAAGTGATGGTGTTTCTTGATTAGATAAAATACTGGTTTTTTAAGTGATTGCGACTTAGCTATTGCTCTTTTTAAAATGTTAAACATTTCTTGTAATGAATTTATTCCCTGGTCCCCAGGAAATGCTGCAAAGATTTATTTGACATCTTAGTGGCCTCTCAGTGTGTCACACTAAAAATTCACTCCCACACCAGATGGGAAAAGCCGGCAGGCCGCAGCCTCAGCAGCCCCTCACCCTGGAGGAAGTTTCCCCTCTTGGGGAGGGGGCGGAAATGCAGGCATTTTCAGTTGGCACATGGCCAGCCCAGAGGAAGAGAGGGGGTGATTGACACCCCCTGCGGCTATTCTACTTTGCTCACATTTTTAAGGTATTCGATTTCAGGAAATCGCCTTTCTGACATAGGATATGGCTTCAGAGGAGGGTTATTAGATCAGTCTGAATGACCCCAAAGCCCTCATCTCAATTAGGAAAGAAACATTTTATCTGGAGGTGTGGTTCTCCCTTCAGCCCTCCTCCACCCCATAGTTGAGGCAAATGCAGAAGCCATGGGGTGGGTCTGGAACTCTGTTTCCCATTGTTGGTCAGACAACAGTGTTGGAGAGGGGGCAGTGTAGCACCTCTTCCTGGGTGCCCTAAGATTAAAACCAGTAAGTAATGCACCAGTGTCCTAAGTTGTCCCCTTCCCCTGTGCTCCCAAACCTCACTAAGCCTGGGACTCAGCATGCATGTCCCCCAAGTGTTGGGAGGCTGTGATGTCACCCCAGGCTCCCTGTCAGAGCCCCTAAACTTTCCCCTGAACCATAATAATGCAGGTGACGGTGACCTTATTAAAGGGGAAATCCTCAGACATACTGTGTTTTAAAGATCTTTCAGAAATGCCTGTGACTTTGCTGTTTTTTATTAACATTCTGGGAAACGCACTTCTCTGTCACTCCTGGCCTCACCAGAGTTGCTGTTCATTTACATGTGGAAGAAGCAAGACTTCAGTAAGCAGTCAACTTTATGACACAGTCCCTGTTGCAATTTCTCAAGATTAATTACATCTGCCATGTGTACAAGAGTGTCATTGAAAAACAGGTCAGTCTCCTCTGACATGGCCCCACTGGAGGCTGCAGGGCACAGACAGCTGCTCAGAGCTCCCAGGCCAGTTCTCTTGGTCTTAAACTTTTTTGGAAAAAGCCAAAGTCATTACTACCTTTCAAAACCAGCAGCTTTCACGCAAAAAACCTGAATTTCCAGTTTCTCTTGGAAAATGAGAGGATTTGGTTATTATATACCTGCACTCACCCCCTAACCATCAACTAGGGGTGTTGGGACCCCCAAATTGGACACTGCTCTCAAGTTGACCACAATCCCCACCTGTCCCCTTTGAGGACACCTGCTTTGTTCATTTGCATTAACTGCTTGTAGCCTGCAGGCTTTGCATTGGCAATCCTTGAAAAGAAAGTGAAGTTTAAAAGGGCCTCCCTGGTGGTGCCAGGGATTAAGCACAGCACTTTGAAGCTATCCGCAGCCTCTGAGCACAAGCTACCTACATGGAGTAGCAGACCTCTCCTGTCTCACCGGCTGCTCCCCTCAGCAGTGTGTTTCAGTAGATCTGCTTGTTCTGTTCCCCACTCTGTCTCTGGTGAATCCTCTCACGCCCCCACACCTCTGGCCTGTACCTCAGTTCTTGTATGCATAAATAAATAAATAAATAAATAAATCTTTAAAAAAAAATAAAAGGCAAACTAAAGAGACCGTGTTCTTAAAAGATGAGCTGAGCGTCATGTCTGTCCCAAATTCTCCTGCAGGGCAGTCTTCCGGCTGAGCACAGGGCTCTGGAAGTGGTCTGATTTGGACCCTTTCCAAATGCTCCCTGTGTTACTCTCACCCACTTCCTGTCCCCACTTTCCCCTCCTCCACCCCAATATCCATCCCCTTCTCCAGGCAGGACAGACTTTCTTGGATTTCAAGAAGGGTGGTATTGTTTTCAAAAAAAAATAAAAGGGAAAAAAATAAAGTCATGGGTGATGGGCGGGGGGCTGGGGGGGACAGGGGGCAGCAAGGAGTTGCTGCCAAGGCTGCATTAACTCAAAAGAGAAGTCAAGACTTTATGCAGACAGACACTTCTCACTTGAAAACCCCAGGGTCATCTCGGATGCCCCGGAGAGTCTGCCGGGCACAGTATGGTGCAGCCCTCATCCACTGGCATGCGGGATAGCCTTGCCAGCTCCTGCCCACCCCCACGTGAAATGTGAGGTCGGTGGCTGGGGGTAGCTGAGGCCAGAAACAGGAAACAGAAAGGAAAACCCCCAAGCAGTGCCACCAGATATCTGCATCTGCTGTCACCCCAAATGCCAGAGGAAATGTTAGCACAGTGCAGTCCCTAAAACTGATGGGGTGAGGTGGAGGCAGCACAGCATTCAGCACTTGGTGCTTTCACAGGTATGAAACGATTGGTGGCACGTATCGCAGCCATAGGCAGAAGCTGAGGATCCCTGAGAAGCCAGATGTACCCCCCCATAATGGCCATGTACCCCCCTTCCACCACCCCATGCCATTAAGATCTGCCCTTTGCCCTTCTGTGAACCTCATAGGGAGTTTCTAGAGGTCACACCCAGTCACCATTTGGCCACATTTGAGTTTCGTAGACAGAGTTCTAAAATGACTTACAGTTTTAGATCTTATTTGTTTGTGTAGGCGAGAGTAGGTCACCCTAAGCATGTCCCAAAATGTCACATCAGGGTGCTGGCACGCTGAGCCCCCACTAGCCCTTGCAGGCATTGGAGTTTGGGGTAGACTTCCCTGGTAGCATGCAAGGAGTTAAGAGGCTGGGGTGCCTTTCCAGAAGTGTTAACAGTAACATGTAATAGAGTAAGAACCACAGGACTTCCAAAACTGAAAGCCCTCTTTTATCTTCTGAAAGATAATTTAAGTATTTATTACTCCCCAAAAGGCAGCATGATCTTCAAGGTCACACTGCAGTCAGCAGAGCAGGGCCGCTTTGACCTTGAGCAAAAAGTTAGTACAACCCATTAAAACTGTTTCCCTTAAGCTTTCCCAAAGAAGAACCTAAGAAAAATACTACAAGGAAATGTTTCCTCTAAGAGGCAAAAAAT